ACCATATTTTGTAGCTGAATTAAAGTCTTTATCTCCATATATGCTTGAGGTATGCAGATTGTTTGCACAGGTTTAATATCCAATATAATCTTTATACTTCTAGTGTAATAAGGTAGTTATGTTAGTGTTTTAGGATGATTCGGTAACTGTTGGTTGACTTGTTAAATCTAGAGGCGAGGTGTTAATGCAACGAGAAAGATACAGTATAAGGTGAGTTATGATGAAAATTAAAGTTTAGTCTTTTCAAAGTGTACTTGAATTTGTTTTCTGTACGATTGAATGCAGCCACCGAACACTAGTTGTTGTATTAAGACATTTGCGAGAATGTGTCAAAGTTTTGATGATAGGGAAATTTGTTGGGTTGTAGAAATGGGATTTGGGGGGTTGTTGAAGTTTGTAGGAGAGATGCACTTGACAAGGCAATTGTCCTATTGGTTGTTAACTCGTATAGATCCATTCAAATGCACACTTAAAAGTGTAAACAGGAAATTATTTAATATGTCAAAGAACCAAGTACATTGGGTGCTAGGTATTCCTAATCGGGGTACTGATGTTCCTACTTACAAGTAATTGTCAATTAATATAACGGAGAATATTGATGAGATAATGGCTAGGTATGGGAAATATTGGCTTTCGAAATCAAGCAAAATTGGTCGGCAGTATAAGTCTTGTGGAATCCCTGTCACTAGGAAGTTAATGGAGAGGATGGAAGGGGAGTAGCAGGGGCATGAAGGTGATGAGTTCAAGTTGTTTTTACTACTGTCATTGGAGATGTTTTTATGCCCCACACAGTCATCAAGGTTGGCTTCAGACCTTGTTCTTGCATTGACTTGTGCTAGAAAAGCAGTCGAGTATGATTGGTGCAGCCTTGTGCTCAACAAGCTTATGGATAGCGTAGCTACATTTACACGTAGATTCTACTGTCATGGCTATGATAGTGGTTGTGGTGGATGCCTCATCTTTGTTGTGGTATGGTTATTTACAAATCTTGCATCTTTATGTTAAGTGATTTCCTTTTAGTTGTATTTATCTTTAACTAATTTTTCTGTAGGTCATGTATTTGGATAGGCTTGATAGACAACCAGTCCACTAGGGGGTGTGTCCAAGGCTATAATTTTGGACTATGGACCATATAAAAAGGATTGTTAAGGCTGATCGCTTGCCAAATGATGCTTTTGGAGTATTTGGGGTAAGCTTCTAACATTGTAGAAAGGCATGGTGTTATATCTTTTAACTAAATTCATTGATGATCTTGGACCCAATGTGTCTTATTATAGTTCTATATATATATATTATAGACCTTGGATATGGCATAAGGTGAAAAACATCCAAGACTAGCAAGGGACACAAATGGTCCTCAAGAACAGGCTGAGGTAATGTAGCCATATATAATGTTTGTGTACTATTGAATTGGGTAATGGAATATGAAGTATTTAGAATATGTGTTCTTAACCAGGGTATGAGTGTCTGTATGGCTTTAAAAAGGAAGAACTGTGCACCGAGACGCATGTCAAACACTAAGACAATACCAGCCACGGGAAGCCGATCAAGTAGGGATGTATAGTTGAGAATGTAAATCAGATGCCAAGTTAATGAAGTTGACTGGTAACGATGCAAGTTTTTTTTTGTTGTTGTTAAGTTGGTAGCCTTTAAAATGGAACAAATAAGGAGGTATATATAGTTCTTGTGTGTTAATAAGGTTTGAATTAATTGCATATTGTTGTCATTCTCTTAACTGACATTCATTACTAGAAGGTGGCTCTACTTAGATGATGTTGTTGCTGATAAATTGGTATTTTACATATAACACAATTGTGGCATTGAATTGCATTATGTGATAAGATTATTGTTGAAAAGTTTTCATTTTCATGTTGCTTTGGAATTCTTTATAGGTGAGTGCTTTCGTGGCAAGGTTCGGTTCCAACTATTGATGGTGCCTTGCTAAGTACCCATTCTCTTTAGTGAGTTTGATGTTGTAATTTTCAGGACAGTGGTTGTTGTTTATAATATATTTAATAAATGGTGATCATGTCCATATGTTGTTTATAGCCCATTTTTTGCAATTTCGGGGAGGAGCAGTTTTCCTCAGTAACAGCATATCCCCGGTCATGGAGTTGATGACAGGATTTCTTCGGGATGGTTGTTGTCGTATTTTGTCCATTGTGTTGCCTGTGAGCCTCTATTTATGTACGAGTTGTGACTGTAGTATTTGGTTGTTGGATTGATATGTTGAACAAACATTTTATTTGTTTTCCTAGGTTGTAGGATATAACAGTCCAACAATGGTTGATTGGGTGTTGGTTTTGAAACATTGTTCCCCAAGCCATGTGTTTGTGGTGTTTGATAATATGGGTTCTGGATCAGTTTCTATGACTACATCACAAGTGAGCTCCTAACAACCATTTGATCCACCTATATTTTCAATGTGTACTGAACATAATTTTGTGCTTTATAGGGAGAATATATCTGATGAATTGGTGCTTCGATTGAAGAACACATCACAATTGAATAGAGTTGTGATGATGGTTACAGACATGGGATGTGTGCGGTAATGGGATATTATTTCCAATTATAAATGCAGTTGGTAATTTGTCGTTTACATATTAGTTTACCTGGCTCATTTGTTTGTATCATTAGTATTGTTTTTCATGTTGTGCATGGTTGGTTTGTATTAGCATAAATTGTACTTTGGAGAGGTGGGTGTTTGACAGTCATTTAGTGGATTTACGCTTACTTAGTCATACTTGAGTTTTCTTAATAAAAGTTGGGCCGGTGTTCTAGTTTAAGCCCAATGTAAACTATAACCAATCACTTGGACTATATATATGTAGTTAGTATCCCTATAACGAAATGGTCTTTTGAATTTTATATTGGGGGCTCCAATTTTGTATTGGGCTTTGATTTTTTTTGGGCCAAGCATAACATTTTACCCAATCTAGAAATGAAAAAACACGAAAGAACATGGGCTCCAATGTTATATTGGGCTTTGATTTTTAATTGGGCCAAGCATAACAATCTGGAAATGAAAACAAACGACAGAACATGATGATATGAACTCCAAATACTAGTACATTGGATTGTTTTAGAACATGTAATTTAACACATATTCAGCATGAAATTGCTAATACATTTTCTAAGTGAAGCTACTGATACACTTAATTAACAAGGCCCCAGGTGTATGGCTGACTTGTGGTGCTACATAATTTGTAGGGAGGGTCTTTTGTGAAAGTAATTATCGCATAACCATCCATTTTGGTTGATTTCGAGATCCCGCAAACACGGTAAGGCATTACGCTTTGTAGTAGTAAGCGTCCCAAGTTGACCGAAACCCTTGTCTCGGTTAAGACAATCACACCTGGCATATGTAAATCTATTACCTCTTTCAGTGAAAGGAGGAAACTCTCTCTGCTCAAATCCCTACATTTCCATAACATAAACCTTGTGTTGGTGCCCATCTCCATATCTTTCTTCTCGGTGTTATTGGTAACAATGACGTTTAGTGTTGCCTTTCTACCATCCAATATGTGGCTCGTATTGGTAGTGCCGGTTAAAACTAACCCAGTCATTGCTATAGGGGCTGTCACATTGAACAACTTAAAGTCGTTTCTATAACTTTGTATGTCCATTGAATGTTCTCCTATTGGCAACCAACATAAATCCTTAATAACTGGTATCTCTGAACATGGATCCACTACATCCCTTATACAGAAAGATAACACATTCTCATAACCAGGACCCTTTACACCTCCACTAGTTGAAATTACCCACTACACAAATACCTTGAACACCTTTGGATGTAAAGCAAGGTCAGACAGATCTGGTAAATGAGTCGGCCTTACTGTATTACCATATGTTGTTTTAACCATATCGCTCACAATGCCTTCTCCTGTTGAGATCGACTTAGCGGCCTGCACTGAGCTCACTGCGTTCAGCGTCACTAACCCGTCCGCCGTTAACCGAGGGTCCTTTATAACTTCTAGAACCCCCTTCTTCATAGGTTTTTTGGTGTACACGAATGGAATATTGGTTTTCATTAGATTGAGATTCTTAGATTAGACAATTATTGAGGGATATGGGGCTTGTGTTATCTTTGTTATGGAGCAACAAAGTTTGTTTTGAAAGGGTCTCACAAGTGAGACTGGTATGTCGAATTTTCCCTTCACCATGTTTGCAATTAAGGGGTTTAAAGTTTTGGTAAGGTTATAGTATGAAGTACTTTGGGGAGTTTCTGTATTTGTAGTGGGTATGTAGAACAATGCAGAGGCTAGATGACAGCGGGAAGATGTAAAAAATTACCGGCAATTCCCTACTAAATTTTTCAACTTTCTCGCCCTTTTTTTCCAATGTTTAATGTACTTTTTCAACAACTGCTGCACTTTAGTCAGACTGTTAAGAAGTTTTTTTTTATATTTGAAATTTTCCTTAGCATATGTCAATTTTTAAAAATAAAAAAAAAATAGTATATGTCCATTTTTTAAAAAAAAAAATATGAAGAAATCTATAGCCTTAGTTCATATCAAAATTAATATTTATAAATAAAAAAAAAGTATTAGTTAAGATTGATTTTTAAATGGGTAGCATATTCGAGAAGTTCGGAAAAATTTATTTTCTAATTTACTAATTATTATTAAAAGTACAATTTAAAGAAACAAAAGTAAAATACTACAACTTCAAAGCTACCAAAGTTCCCATCTAAAAAAAGGGTAACTCTAATATGATAAATAATCTATTTGTGATTCAATTTTGTTGATACTTGCATATAAACCAATGAAAGTTTATTTAATTTGTATAGGAACCAATGACAGTTTATTTAATTTACAGCACTGGAAATAAACACTAACAAAGATTTGAACATCCTGGTTTAACAAGTGCAAAATAAAAAAAGTTTATGTGTAAGCCTGGCCCGTGATCAAATTGTAGTCATCTTGACAATGACTTCAAAACTAACGGTGATTCATGTACAAAATCCTCATATTAAAATTGCAACCCAGTTGATCAAAATGGTGTTGGTATTGTAATTGCAAAAATAACCAGTTTAGCTACATCGTTGTAACAGGGTTGATCAAAATGAAACCCCATAAATAAGACAGTTACACACCAACACAATTAACCACTGTTAAAGAAAGAAACAGAGTCTTCAAAGTACCAACAGGGATAAGTAGTTGTTACATAAATTAGGACAATTGAATGTCAAAATTCTTTGCACCTGAACAAGGATTAAGACTCATAGGAGTGTGAGTCCTCCGTATCTGTTACATGCTCCATTAGGTCAGGATCAACACAGTCCTCATACAAGGCAGAAAGTGGACGTGTTGCTCTTTTCCTTTTTCCCTGCAAAAAAAAACATTCGAGATACCAAAGCATTTAGTAGGTGGAATGCATAAACACAGTAAAGCATGGCCATAAACAAGAAATCAATACCAATATTTATAACACTCTTACCTGCCTAGTTTGGGTGCTAGTTTTGGTTGTTTGGGCAGATTTCTGGACAGTGTTCGAGTTCGTTTTCTAAGTCTTATACCCATTCTCCGCTAAAGTCTTATACCTGGTGGTTTTTAGTCGACCACGTGGTTTTTTGCATGCGATAGGATCCTTCACAGATTTTTGGCAGTTGAAGTAGGTGTCTTGGTTGCCAATGTGTTTGATCCTATTTGAGAGCTGGGTATAACAGGTAGTTCTGCTTGTTTTTTAAGGAATGTAGTACGGCTCTCTTTTACATCCAAATGAAGCTGCTTCAAACTGGTCAGTACCAATTCAACCGTGACCATATCATCAAATGCTGCAGCCTCATCACAAATTCCCTCGAACCCCCTCATCATTTTGCGATGATACTGAACTTAAGGCATGTCTTCGGGGTCATGGTAAGTAACTTTGACACGAGTATGTTTACATGGAACATCTTTCCTCCACCTATCTAGTATGTACTTGGATGGGATATCAAAAATATGGTTCAACTCGAACACACGAATAACATGCTTGCACAATATCCCAACAAAAGTCTCAAACTTGCGGCATTCACAAGAGACATCTTTCGTCCAGTGATAAAAAAAATCACGCGTACTAAACGATAGAAGTCGGTTATAACATCCTCGCTCTTATCTTCAGGAATTATTTACAAACGTTTCTCTAGGACATATTCTGTCTTGTTGTTTACAAGATCGCGCCTCTCATTCGGAACACAATACCCCATCCTCCCACGCTCCTGGAGTTCTTGGAACATTGCATCGGTGTAGATTTTCTAGAATAATTTCTCCACTTTAAAACTGCTAACAAGCCTCCAAACATACTTGCCACATCTTGCATTAGCATCATTCTAACTCAGACTTAACCCGCCTTACCATCACCCTTATATATTTCTTTGGGAATTCATGTAGCTTTTTTATGTTTGTTTACAAAACCGTAAAAGAAGCTATTTATACTATCTACACGTTGGTTGTTTTCATTCTGGCCCAAAAGTAATCCTTCATAAATGCGGGAACCCACATATGTCTTTATTCAAATAGGTCACACAACCAGTCATTATCCCCAAGCTTCCATTGAGCCATGAATGCATGCTAACGGCTCTCAAATTCTTCAACTGTAAAACTCTCATAAATAAGAGTCTTCAAAGAGCTCTTAAAATCTTCATAAATTCCATCACCAAGCACAAGCATCACATACCAATCAAAACACAAAATCATATCACAAATTTGCACCATTTTGTATGAGTGGGCACTATTATCCTAAATCAGGACTGTTCTACAAACAAGGTTAGGAAAAGGAACACCATCTACAAATAAAATATGACAGTTCAATTAAACACATCTACAATTACAATATGACACTTCAAGTAAAAAAAAAAAAAACAGAAACCATAGGCAACAACGCCACTACAAAGCAGGTGTCCTGTTTTGTACAAATTCAAAACAGGCAGATTTCATATAATGTTTAACCTAAGTGCATAGGTGCATGTGTAACACCCCCGATTTACTAGCTAATAATAAACAATAAATAAAGGAAAATTAGACAACCTTTAATAAAATTGCGGAAGCATACACCTAAATCGGAGGTATCACCGCCATACTCAACAACCTGTCAAGTGTTAAGGCTTACAAAATCCCAACTATATAACTCAATAAATCTAGGTGAGTTATTTATACAACTTTACAAACTTGTTATAGAAAACTAATTGATCACTTGAGCTCCTTTAGCTACGATCACTTGATCAACCTGCTTAAACAACTTGACTGCTCACCATTAAGGACAAATTCCAAAATAGATCGTTGCAGGGCCACCATAAGAAAAAGACATGGCCGCAAACACAAATAGCACAATAAAACAACACACACGTCAGCAAAAGCTGAGTAATCACCACATATCATAATACAGAGTATAATAGGATAATCAACATTAATATCTCACTTAAACAATGTAGTTTAGAATTACATTACACATTGTACTCTGAAAATAACCTTTAACAACTCAACCTCGAATAATTATACAAACCTTTACTCAATTAACTCATATAACCCATAAGTGTGCCATGCTCGTTGTTCTATACCTAGCCTTGGACATGGGTAATTCAAATAAAACCAACAAGTATAAAAACTTGAATACTCCCAATAACCAGAAAACACCTTGAACCAGACCACATACAGGCCAATTCCCAATGTAGGGGACCATAGAAAAAAAAAATATAAATAAAGATTGTACCTCATTCTTAACTCATGATTATCATCTCCTTACCAACATGCCAAGGACTAAGGTTTATAACGCTGAGCCTCAAACCAAGAACAAAATAATAATTCTCAACCTTTTGATCTCATACATTGATCAAATAATAATTCACAAATTAATTTATAATATCTCAACAATGGCACGGTTCCCAAATAACATGACAATTCGATTCATAAATATCTCAACTCTTAGGGCAATAAAACTAATACCCAAATATAATCAACTCACAACCAAATATAATATTCTGCATTAATAACTCTAAAACCTCGATAAAACAATACTCCCTATAGAAACAACATTAAAACCCTAGAAATAATTGTACAATCAATATATACAACAAAAATAATATGATATTCAAATCAAATCAAATCATACAATATCATAATAATTAATCATATATACAAGGAGTACCATTGATAAATCATATCACACATAATAATACAAAATACCAAACATGTCAAAAGTTTCGTGTGATTACCTTCCCGGAAACAATTAAACATATAGCAAAGTATTGCACTAACGTTGGACTCCTGACTTGCGATTCACGCCGACATAGTACGTGAGGCTTGGATACTTATAGGGGAAATACATGATAAAGTTTGGTGGAAGAATCATGAGAATAATCAAAAGGCTCAAGGTTTATTAAGATAATAACTTGGCTTATTTGATAATAAAGAGTAAGGTCTGCTATTTCAACATAGAGAAACAAACGGCAAAAAGGATTAAGGTTAATAATGCTATTATGAGATAATTATAATAGGGTTTAAGACTTTCCAAACTCTAAATTAAAAAGATGAGATTAAGAAATTTATTTAATAAATAAAAATAAACTATTTATTTTTATAAAATATATTATATAAAATCATAAAATATTCGAGTATTACAATATACCCTCCTTAAAACAAGTTTCGTCCTCGAAACTTAAAGTAGATAAATAATTTGTAAATTTGAAAGAGAGTAAAAACTAAACCGAACTTTTCTTAATAAAATATATAGATAGAGTATTGAAATATTAGGGGTATTACAGCATGAATGGTCAAAATTGCATGACTTGCAAATTTGAAACAAACACACAAAATTCAATACCAATTCACACAACCAACTACACCAATACAGAGCAGGTGTCCTAATCTGTACATAGTTCAAAATCCAGGCATATTACATGTAATGTTAAACTTCCAAAGCCTCAGTGCATAAGTGCATAAATGGCCAACATTGCAGGACTTGCAAATTAGAAACAGAAGAAACATACACACAAATGTGATTGCCAATTTACCAGATTTTAATTCATTCATAGCTGAAACAGATGAACAAAGAGAAAACACTTACTTTTCACACTTTACCCAACTTCTCTGGAATCTTCCTAAGGATATGCCAAATACACCAACGGTAACGAGTTGATGGCGTTACGACTGACAGCGGCCTCCTCATGGCGGAAGCTTGATTCGTCAAGATTGTGCCAAGAGGTTTATTTCCCATGCAGGCAACCCACTGCTGAAATATCCAAAAAAAGGTGTCGCAATTTTCGTGTGAAACAAAGGCACATCCCAAAAGTAAAGATTGGGCGTGATGATTTAACCCGACAAAGTTAGCAAAGGGGAGCTCATACTCATTGGTAAGATAGGTAGCATCAAAGCATATGACGTCACCAAACTCCTCGTATGCCACTCGAATCCTAGCATCAACCCAAAATACATCCTTCAATCAGCCCTCTTCATCCAATCGATGAGCGTGATAAAAGTTTTGATTATCTGCTTGCATACGATCAAAATACGCCATCATAGTTGCCACGTCACCGCCTTCCATTTTCAATTGCCACTCCTTGTAAACCTCATGTTGAAGATCCTTAACAATTGGCAAGTTTTCCTCACCACCCAACTCTGTAGCCATGCAACCATGTATTTGTTTTACTAGGACACCTTCTTCATAATAGGCCATCAGCTTTTTCTTGACAAAAGAAGTATATTTTTTCACTCGGTATTCCTTTACCAATTTGGCACCGCCGAGATCCAATTTGTGAACATGATCAAGTACAATGTCCTCAAAACCCAATCACCAACAGGATTCACACTTGCATAAATTCTAGCTATGGTGAGATAGGAGAAAATGAGTTGGTTTGTGGGAACAGGACCTCCAAGAAGTGTGAATGTGAAGTTAACTACGCCACCGGTGCCACAAACTTCCATATTTTTTTCCTTCTTCCTAGCTTCCCTCCTTGCCCTCATATCAGGGGGGGAAGCACTCACACCGCCAATTAATCACCCTCCTCTCCTTTTCCTTGGTATATGAACCAGATTGTCGAGTGACACCAAATCAGTGTTGTTCCACATACTCTTTATAATAACTTTCTATATCTTGCCACCTTTTAAAAACCATACCAACTCTAAGTGGTTCAACTGTAGAGTACACACTCACCTTGTTTGTGGTCACAATTGTTTCCACAGTCTCTAGTGTTTTAACATGAGATGTCAATTGAAGTCCATTTTCACTACATTGGGAGGGCTGAACATAAGGAGTCAAACTATCTAAAGATGGGAATTCTGTTTCAGGTGGAGTATCAGGCACAAATTCATCGAACATAGTCCCCTCACTAACAAGTCCAAAATCTTCGTCCATAGCACACCCACTTATTCATATAACACCACTAGGTAAAAAAAGGAAACCAAAAAAACAATCAAAACAAGTAAGTGGATACAAAGATTAAACTTCAACTGCCTCATTTATCTATAAAACACATACTGCTACCTCAGAGACTTGAGCTCAAACATAGTCAATTTCACAAAAAATTAACGCATCTCACATGGAACTACTTAAAAATTACTTAGAATGTCAATAGTTAAACACAATTCATAAATATCGAGTTTACAACAATGTACATTCATATATAAAATGGATAATGAAATTAAAAAAGGGAAAGGGTAAATAATTTGAAATAAAACTCGGGTTAATAGAAAACACAGATTGATCTACAACTTCTTAACAATTTATAAATTAAATAAGCTAAATCAATTATACAAACGACTCAAACCAAGATTCATCAATTACATAAAACGATTTCAATAAACAGAAAAACCCCTAATTCACTTAGTTTCGACAATTTGAAAGATAAAAACAAACAGACAACTGCATACAAACAACTTGATCAATGTATTGGAAACAATACCTCAAATGTCAAGTTTACAGCTTGGAATTCGATAATATTACATGAATTCGCCCATTCCAAAGCTATAGATCCACGTCTTATTGTATACAACCCAGTATCAAAAGTCTTTTGTTTTCAAATGGTTGAGATGGTGACGAGTGGTGCCGGATTACACAACTCCATCTTTGTCACCGATCATCTTTAGGTTTGGTTCCGTCAAGTTTGTGGATTCTCTCTCTTCGTTAATTCTTTCTCTATCTCTCTCTACAAGTATTCATTCGATTAAGGTTTCTCTCTCCTCCTACCACGATTTCAGAAAATTTAGAAGATGGCATTAACTTTAAAGTTAGTTTGCTACCGTTATAGAATTTATTATTAAAAATAGGAGAACGGAGTCCACATCACTGATCCAATATTTTATTATTACTTTACAGATTTCAAAGTCACGTGCCATGATATTAACAACATTCGTTTATAAAAATTATCAATGGAGACCGACTCGACCACTACTTTGTTCTTTGTTTTGGCCAATTTTCCAACCAAAATCCTCATTGTAAGTGTTGGAGTAGGGGTCATACCTAGTGTTGGCATGCACATATATTGACTTGTTCCATAGAAAGGGAAAGGAACTTTACTCAATTAATAAGGGACATTGCGAAAACATATGGTCTTCACTACCACACACATCACAAGACATCAATTGCATAGACACATTATCATTTGAAGAATTAGATGCGTTTGAGTTATGGAGAGGGGAGATAGGAGAGGGAGAAGATTGCATTTGATAAAATTTAGAGGACAAGACATCTAATTTTGAGCTAAGCATATTGATAGCACTAAACTCATACCTCCCTCCTTTCTTAGTGGTTCTCCTCTCATCGACACTCCAATAGGTGTAGTTTTGCACTACGTCTTCAATGATTTTAAGTGTTTTCAATGGTGGCTTGTTCATGGGTGGCCCACCCGATACTCAATCTAATAGTATGTGATCCGCCTTAGAGAGACCCCTATAGAACCCATGTAGCAAGAGCCAATCTTTCATGCCATGATGTGGGCATTGTTTTTTATAGCTCTTAAATCTCTCCCAAGCATCATAGAGAGACTCATTGGGATCTTGTTAGAATTTTGAAATCTTGGATCTCAATTTCGTCGTCTTTTCAAGAATTATAAACCTTCCAAGGAATTCCAAAGTTACCTCATTCCAAGTTGCCAAAGATTTCGGAGGCAACATCAAGCCAATCACTCGCTTTCCCCGTGAGAGAAAACTTTAACATGCTCAAATAGATGTAATCGGGGGTCACACCATTCGCCTTCACGATGCTACAATATCGTGTGAATTGTTTTAGTTGATCAATGGGGTCTTCATGCTTCGCCCCGAAGGATTGATGACTCTCAATCAAGGTGATAAGGGCGGGCCTTTTCTCAAAATTGTTTGCCTCGGTAATGGGAGTAGCAATCCCACTCGCTTCTTAATATGGCGGAGGAACACCAAATTCTCTCAATGTCTTGTTCGGAAGAGCCATTTTAAATTGGTGAAGAGGTGGAGAAGTTGGAGAATTTGTCCTTGGTGAATCGAGTGGAATGGTGTCTCCACTAGAGTCACTAGAACTAGAGTGGTCGGACTCAACTACCACTTGTGGCTCACTTGAAGTAGCACCACTAGCTATCCCTCTCTTTTCTCTTCGATTTGCCCTTACCACTTTTTCAAGCTCGAGGTTCAACGACACAAGAGGAAGTGTCCTATTGCTGCCTTTGGGCGTAAAACAAAGAGGACTAAATAGGATATTAGTAGGTTAGTCAAAGAAAAACAAAGAAAAATAAAGCAATAAAATGAACTAGTTTCACATATTTCACAAGTAACTCAATGCTTAACGCCACTCCCCGGCAATGGCGCCATTTTCGTAGAGGAACAATTGGTCGTTGGAAAATCACCCTAAACCGAACAATATTTCTACCTAAACTAACCTAATACAAGTCTAGGGTAAGTAGAGGGTCGTATCCACAGGGAATGGGTAAAGAATACCAAGAGTATGAAACAGTTGTAAGCTAATTCGGTCACAAATTGGGTTTTGATTAGTTAACTTCTATATAGAGGAACGCTAGGGGAAACGGCCATGCAGAGTCTCTACTGTTTTGATGCTGCTAACTTGCACGGGCGTGCAGAATTTGGCATGGACATGCCGATTTCTACACTGCCGTGCTGGATGGGGAGAACTGAATCAGTAGCTACTGATTCTAACCCAGGCATCCTACACGGATGTGCAGACTTGGGCAGAACCAATTTGCGTTCTGGAACACCCCTGCACGGACGTGCAAGAGTTAAGAGTCTTGCATGGCCGTGCAGGGTCTTCTTGGCCTTGTTTTTCTTTCTTTTTTCGATCTTGCTTCTTTCTTCTTCATTTTTTCTAAGCTTCTTTTCTTTGCTTAAAGTTCCTTAAATACTTCCCCGGATGCTTCGTAGTGCATTCTTTGGACCTAAATTGTCATAAAAACAATAACAACCCGTGAAGAACGTAATACACAAAAATGCATAAAAAAATAGAGTGAATAATGAACTAAGGCATCGATTCCTCACATATTCAACATTAAAAACCACTCTATAATCACACAAAATGGCAAGCTATCAGGCACTCCTTTCCAAAACATACAGGATTGTTGTTCACTCTTGACTGTTGTATGAATTATATGTAAAAAGCTTATGCTGCTCAAAATAACATCATATGGGTTTCTACAAGAAGTTTGTAGATACATGCAGAAGGTTGAGAATCATGAAGAGCTCTGATGCAATTGGTCTAGGTACATCTTTCATCTATGTATATAAAATTTTTGACATTCATACACTTTTGAGTCATGTTCTTTGGTTCACAATGTGGTGCTCAGTTTGTTAAGTTAGTGCAATGACCTGTGTGTCTGACTGATTCACTAAAAAAGCTACAAAAGTACGGAAGAATGAAATGAATATAGCAAAAGGATTTTTTATATTCTAGTGATTCCTGAGTGAAAGAATAAATGACGAATTATTAATGTATAAAGATGGAGATAATACATTTGGGCATAATAATAGAAAGATTATTGAGGTTTGTTTGTACTCAGAAGATCAGATTTCAGCTTAACAGTGTGAGAAAAGAGTTGTCTGATCATGACTTATAAAATATGTCATATCATCACAAAATTGAATAGAAAATGCTTCTTTGTAGATCTTTCCTCTAATAAAACATTATATGCATATGAAATCTCGTGATTTTGATAGGATCTTCGCTTATAGATATCCCATCACAACTTTTGTGCAGCTCCAAGAGCATTGGAGAAATCCAGGAACAGGCGCTAGCTTTCCTTGGCTTTGCTGATCATTCCTTGTCTTACTGATATACAAAGTGTATATCAGATTGCTGTTGTGTTTTGTATTATCTGCACTGTTAGCTATGTCTAACTCCTGCTTGCTATCAGGACAGCCTACATGTATGTAAATTACTCTGCTTGGCTGTTTGCTGCAGTTCTCTATTGTGAGTGCTTCATTTGAACTTAATCGCGCTTGAAGATGCAAAATAGCTTATCTCTATGTTGCCTCTATCGCGCTTTTCTGCTATTAATGCTTATTTGCCATATTGTTCCCAAGTACAGCCTCTGATCACCTCGGTTTTGATCGAGTAAAAAAGATAGAATTTAAAATTTGCAAATCAATTAGTTTCCCGCAACTCAGTCGGTCTTTATTGTACTATAAAAAGAGCTACATGGGACAAGGATGTTTAGACATACAGACTATTGCAATATTTTGTAAATGTCTCATTAATCTTTTTGAGTACATCTAAAGCTTCGGATATCATATAAATCTACACAGAACAACCCCTCAACATCGGTCGTAACCTACTTCTTTATCGTCTTATTGAATAACAAGATTTCCTCGTTTTGGACTTGTAGTTCATTATCAGACTTACACTTTCTTTGGATAGGAAGAAATGGAAGGAAAAGAAGAGAAGAGAAATGGAGGGGGACAAAATCTCTTATTTGAGTAAAAGATTGGGGGAAGGAAGGGGAAGGAGAGGGAGGGATCAATTTTCCCTCTCTCTTTAATAACCATAATCTCTCCAAAATTGGAGAGATTTGGAGGGAAAATGGAGCTCACCTCCCCCTCCCTTTCTTTTCCCTTCCCTTCCTCCATTTTCCCTCCCCTTCTTTTCCTTCCTTCTTTGCTATCCAAACAAAGCATAAATTGATAGCAAAGAAAACAATGGAGGAAGGAAAACAATGCTTTTTTTGGATAGCAAAGAAGGAAGGAAAAGAAGGGGAGGGAAAATGGAGGAAGGGAAGGGAAAAGAAAGGGAGGGGGAGGTGAGCTCCATTTTCCCTCCAAATCTCTCCAATTTTGGAGAGATTATGGTTATTAAAGAGAGAGGGAAAATTGATCCCTCCCTCTCCTTCCCCTTCCTTCCCCTAATCTTTTACCCAAACAAGAGATTTTGTCCCCCTCCATTTCTCTTCTCTTCTTTTCCTTCCATTTTTTCCTATCCAAACAAAGTGTTAGTGTTAATTATCCTACGTATTAGAGTCAAATATGGGCAACAAAGCAACCATTGAATGAGCCTAGTAACTGTATTTATCAAGCAAAGAGATCATTTGCGCAGTAGTATATCTTGTTATGTGAATGCCAACTAACGTTGTAAAAACATTAACTGTGTGTTTGGATAACATAAGAGGAAGGTAAAGAAAGGGAGGGAAGAGAAGAGGAGGGGAGAGAAGAATGATGAATTTTCCTTCCAAATCTCTCCATTGTTGGAGGGATCAATTTACTACAATTTAATCTCTCCATTTCTCCCCCCTTCAATTCCTTTACTTCCTCATTTGTTATCCAAATGAAAGATATCATATCTCTCCATTTTCCTCCCCTTCTTTTCCTTCCATTTCCTTCTATCCAGACACACCATAAGGGTGTTAGTTAAGACCTAGGATCAAATATCGTATATCTTATTATAATTACAAGCACACTTGCTTTTTACCACCCTCCTGAATTTAAGGTAGAGTTTAACGATTGTTATACAGGACTAACTAAACACAATAATAAACAAATTATCTCGTACTTTTAATTTTAACGGTCATTTTACTAGGTTTAGGACGTTAGAAAAAAATTGTCACTTTTCTTGAATTGGTAGTGAGCTATGATAATAGAAAATTCAATATATTGAATTATGTAATTGAGATTTGATAACCATAACATATCAATAATAATGAAAGATTGAGATATTGTGACAACTAATTTTATAATCAGAAACTAAATTGATGATGTGACATGGAACCATCACATGAAATTAAACTTTTGTATTAATCACAAT